ATGATCAGAGCTTACTCTTATTAAATTCTTAGTGTAAGCATTCGGGAAAATAGCAGCCCGCGTATCAGACACCAAATAGCGATCAAGCTTTTCTCGAACTCTAGTAGCAACATTTCTCCCCTGTTCCCAAGTATACCAGTTTCCCACAAAGTTAATGTCACGAAGGGTGCATTCGTCAACCACACTCCAAAAGTTGTTTATTTCCCTACACACTCTGTCAGCTCCCCCTCCTTTTCCTCATAGCTTAATAACTCATTGAAATCACCTCCGAAGACAATAGGTAAATTCGATTCTTGATAGAGAAACTGGATTAAATCCCAAGTCTTATACTTCTCCTCCTCCTTGGGCCACCCATACATCCCCACGAAACGCCAAGGAGCCTTACCATTCATACGGAAATCACCACAAATATGATGTTGAGAGAACGAAATAATGGTCAAGTCAACTTCCGCCCTCCAAAATAAGGCCTCCTGCTTTCCTCACACTATCAACTCCAAACGCATGAGCAAAACCCAGACGATATTTTAATTTCTCTGAATTACACCTCTTATCATTGTTTCCGACAAAAAATTATCTGGGGAAAATTTCCTACTCCATTTGCGGAGCTGAAGAACTGACCAAGGGTTGCCCACCCTTTGGCAGTTCCAACAAAAAGACTCATAATCCCTGGCAGGGTGGGTCCGAGCCAACCTCCGCCGATAAATCAAGACAAGCCTCATCCCTCTTCACCCGTTTTCCTCCAGTATCCACATCATCAGCTTGATACTCACTCTCCAAGCATCTTTTTTTATTTAGTGAGTTATCAACCACCCTCCCTCCAAGAAGATCCGAGTCATGAGAAGCCTCAAGGTTGTTTTGGGAACCATCCTTAATCTCCATACTGCTAGTCATATTGCCTACTTTTTTAGGTTTCACAATCTTCCTCATTCTGCTCACCTCTGTTTTGACCGTGCTTCCCACCCCCATTACAAATTTTACTTGAGTGGCAGGTTTTGTTAATTCATAATATTCCCATCTTTCACCAAAGTATCAGTGCAGGAGGTAACATGTGGGGTAGATGGTTGGTCAGTACTCACATTAATGTGTAGATTCTCCTGCAAAGGTTGTGACACTAATCCAAGTGCATATTCTTTCTCTCTCGCACACCCTGCCCCAAAAATAGCTATAGTCATTTCTCCCTCCTTATCCGCCTTGGTATCATGCTCAATCTCAACAGGTTTTGTGATAAAGGTGAGCTTCCTGGCTGCCAGAAACTCTTCCACCTCTTCAAGCTCCTTCGTCCTTCCCTTCATAGGTGAAGTTTTAAGCCACCTGCCCCACCCTAATTTGTTCTTTTTGCTCTCCTCGTAAACTAACTGACAATCATTTCCAGCATGGCCAATAATACCACACGCAAAATAGAATTAGGGTAAACATTCATAAGCGAACTCTACACAAATCTCCTTCCCTGATTTGTCACAGATGCGTTGGTATCGTCTAAGAGGTTTTGTCACATTCAACATGAAGGTTCAATGGGCACTCAATGAACATTCTGGATCCTGTTCTTCCACCAAGCATAATTATTTCCATTAAACTTGGGTGTCTTGTTGTCATAACCGATTGCACTTAATTCTTAAGTACTCATTCTTAACTCCTCTAGATGTTACTCTTTCGAGAAGCTTAGGCTCTGCATTCAACATGAAGGTTCAATGGGCACTCAAGAGGGGGGGGGGGTGAATTGAGTGTTAAGTAATCGTTAGCAATTTTTGCTTCTTTTCGGATTATGTGTAAGGAACCAGTTGTGCTGGTTCCCTTATGCAGCGGAATAAAACAAAGCAATAAAGAACACCACAGATTTAACGAGGTTCAGCCAACTCTGGCCTACGTCCTCCTATCCTAAGTCCTTTATTAATCTACTCCGAAAAATAAAGACAAAGAACACTCTACTGTTTCCCTACTCCAGGAACCAGTAAACCCCACACTCTACTCCGAATGTGCTCTAAACTTACCCTCGTAAGTTCCTAGTGTGTTTGAACTCACAAACACTCACCAAGTCTTCAACCCCTCTGTCAAAGACTTAATACAAGATCAAGAACTCTCTAATGATCTAACTCTCAAAAGTCAAATAGAGAAAAACGTTAAAACACTATTATGCTCTTGTGTATCACTTAATAATTGAATTAGTGCTTTTAGCTCTCAAAAGTAAAACTCTATTAAAATGCGTGAGAGCCGTGTCACTGATTATTCAGAGTAAGATGTATTTATAGGTTAGTTGGCTAAACCCTAGTTACCTAAAATCATGCATATAAGATATATGCGATTTTATGATAAGTATTTATCCTAATTAATTTGATCACAAGATAAAATCAATTTAGGATAAATTACTTCCTAGTTTTTAGCTAACCAAAAATATCATCTTATCTTTAGCTGCTTGGATATATTTTAAATCAATATTTTTCGGAAAATATCCTTTTTGTAAAATCTTTGTAAAAACGACAGCTTGAATAATCTGTTCAGTTAACCTGGTTCCCTGACCTGGTTCCCTGAACTGAATATGTTATGAAATTTGTTCCAAACCTTGTACCAAATTTCATAACGATATTTAATATACTAAAAGCACTTTATATACTCAATTATATAAGTTATACTACGGAGCATTTACATGAAGTTCCTAAATAACTCTTTGAGTGTAGTCTTCCTTCATGCATTCATTAAGTCTTGAAAGCTTCCATGAATGAACTTAATTATTGACCAAAGGACCTTCCTTTAAGTTGATTGAAAATCCTTTCAAGCTTCCAATCTTAGAAATCAACTTAGATACTGCACATTTAACAAAGTTAATGTACAATACTAAATAAGTAACCGCCTTTCATAAAAGCAGTTTGAGAGAACAGTTTATACTGGTTCCCTACCAGTGCATAGCTCATTTATCATCTAATTGTTCCCTGTATAAAGATAAGTTAGTTCAACAAATATCTCATATAAGTAATAGCTTATCTAGGGAAACAGTGTTCTATTTTAGCTGGTTCCCCCAACTGTATTGAACACTTTCAAAGACCTGTTTCCCTTAGCTGTTTGTCATCATTCAAAACTATCAATCAAAACCTAAGGGACTCAACACAACATAACTTTAACCCTCCTGTACCGGTCTAATCCATGAACATCCTCCTCCATTTCAATTACCTCCCCTAAGTTCATCACAAGTTCTTTCACATCATTATCAGACCTACAATTAAAGGGGAGATGCTTAATTCTCACCCAAAACGGTGAGTGAACCAGTACCATAGTTTCCGGTTTCTCGTCACCTTCAATCTCTTTCAAGACTAGAAACATATTGTCAAAACACCATGGTCTCCCCTTCAAAACCTTCTCCTTTGGAAAAATTGGAAAGCGTAAAGGTTAGATTCGAGCACCCTAATTACCAAATTCCCCGATAAAGCCCAAACTTTCATCATTGTATTTCAGAAGGCTTCAACGTTGTATGAACGATCAGTGATATTTCTTCCAATAAGCATCAAGTCAAATTTTTCGGCTGGGTGGGTGGATTCAACCACCCCTAAATCAACAACACCTCTTTTGTCCTCTTCCAATCTGAGATTTGCATATCGTGAGACAATATCGTCCGCCATAATAACAAAGAGGGCCCCTGTCAATTGATAGCAGAGCCGCCGATGAAACGACAGAAAAACCCTAACATCTAGAGAGTTCACCCTTTCTTTCGAGGGAGAGATAACCAAACGACCTCTTACTAAGAGTCTTCAAGTTACTTTACTAGGCAAAATGTTTTCTTTTTGTGTTGACGCATCTATTTCATAGTTAACCTCAAATCAGGTTTAAGTTAGGTTAAATATGTTTGTCGGTTGTGCTAGATCATCTCACATTATGTACCTTGCCTTATGATTGAGTCCACTAACTACATATCGATTCCAAATTTTCAGAAGGATGCCTAGCTTAGAGTCTTCATTTGTGTACGTGAACTAAATTTAACTTATTTATCTTCATTGTCATGTTAGGTTATATACATGCCACGCCTATGCCTTATCGTGTTTCTTTTAAAAAAAATGTGGCTAAACCCAATTCACAGCTTGTCGTGTCATGACATAAGTTAGACAGACTTGACCACTACCATATTTATATTGGGCACGCTTATTTTGACATTTATGTTCAACAGTCAATATTTTTCAAGAGCTAATCATGATTGACCTAACCCAAAACACATGAGTGTGTGAATTTTGGGACTAACTTTTAGATCACATGCGGCCTAATAACGAGCAAGTTTGGGGACATTTGGTGATTACGATTTTGTTGTTTAGCATGACGTTACGACCATATGGCATTGAAAAAAAAATCTATAAAAATGTTATAAAATATTATCCGGATGTCCGTTACGCCCTGTATTAATCCATACTATTCTAGATCTAGGGTTTATTGTTTTTCAAGCAAACTCTAGTTACATTGTATGTATAGTATATATTTCTCCCTTATACGGAGTCTATGAATTAAAATAAGTTTGTTCTCTCCAATTTTCTCTGTTCTCTTTATTTCACAACATAAAATGTATTTTCAACTAATTTTGCCAATGTTTCTCTCGATCTAACTTATGATTACCTCTATTATTTTTCAGGTAAAATCTTATGTTAATCTTTTAAATAGAATTTAGGGTAGCTCAAATGAGTATTTGATCAATTATATTCAATTTTTTATGAATCAAACTTTAAGTTTTACCAATTAAAGTTTCCCAAAAGACCCAAATCCTTTTTATTCTTTTTATGAAGTTTCTTTTGTTGTTCACACACAAGGCACAACTATCACAAGTGTAATCCTAAAATTCCGTAGCAATTGGGAAATACCCCGTAATAGCCTTAAATGACCCTCACTAGTCAGTAAGTTGCACAAGAACGGGTATTGACACGGATACGGGTATGAAACGGATACGGAAAAACATTTATCTCAAAATAAGGGACACGGGTACGAGATGTTAAAATTCATATAATTTATTTTAAAAAATGAATTTGGCCATATATTTGTCATTCCGTCCTCTCATTTAGATCATATTGTATCATATTAACAATGAGATATATATAAAAGCACCCATATTATTTAACAATTACCATATTTATCTTATTTTACTTAAATTTTCTCATTAAAAAAAGTTGAACCACCCGTATCATAGTAGGATATAGTCCGAGACGTATTGTCATGTGTTCCACAAGCGTCGGTGTCTGATACGATATCCGACACAAACACGACAATTGGATGAAACGTCCATGTATCCTAACTAGTCACTACGCTACTACAGTTCACATTTTCAAACTCAAATCGGCGCCTTCCTCACTTCTTTCGTGAATAACCACAGTAACCCCCCTTCACTCTCCCCCCAAAATCACATTTTTGAATCTTGAATTTTTCTCTCTCCTCCTATTCTCATAACTTCCCCTCTTTTTTCCTCATCAAACTCGCTACAAAACTCAAACCAAATTCAAAAACACCCCAAAAATTAAAAAATCACAAAAAATGGGTTGTGTATCTTCAACACTCCTAAACCAAGACGATGATTTCCCCCAAATCGGAAGCACCGCCTTTAACCACCACATTGTCTCTCTCACTTCCACCACTTACGGCCTTCTTTCGCTAGATCCCCCACCAGCCTCTTCCCCTATGACACCGCCTCAGCCGCTCCCTCGCTTCTCTCTAACACCCAAATCTCTATTCGTTGACCAACCTCCTACCGAAGTCATCAATTCATGGGAACTCATGGCCGGCCTCGACTCAATCACACCCGAAAATAATGAGATTCAAGATAACAATAAAAGTTTTAGATTCACTCCTCAGTTGTCTAACTCCAAACCTTGTACCCCTAAATTCTTTTCCAAATTCAAAGAGAATTCGAACCCGAATACTAATGCTCGGGTTCGAAAGCCCCGGCAACTGTTTCCAGAACTAGATGCCGGGGTAGAGAATACGGCGATCCATGGTTGCGGAATTAAGTGTAAATTGGAGCAGTTTCCGGAAATTTGTCCGCCAAATGGGGAGGACAAAGTAGTGCTTTACACTACCTCTTTAAGAGGGGTTCGGAAGACGTTTGAGGGTTGCAATGCGGTTAGATCGGTGATTCGAGGTTTGAGTTTTGGCATTTGCGAAAGAGATATATCAATGGATCGCGGGCTAAGAGATGAATTGAAGAAATTGTTTTCGCCTTCGCCTTCGCCTCCGCCGCTGCCCTGTTTATTCATAAAAGGGCGGTATATTGGAGGAGTTGATGAAGTGTTGAAATTACATGAGGAAGGTGGGCTTGTTGAGCTGCTTCAAGGGTTACCGAGACTCGAGGCCGGTACCGTGTGTGAAGGGTGCGGTGATGTTAGGTTCTTGCCTTGTTTTCGGTGTAATGGGAGTTGTAAATTGGTTGTGGTTGTGAAAGAGGTTGATGATGATAATCCGGAAAATGTTATTAGTATGAATAATTATGTTAGTAGTGATAGTATTCAGAGGTCTGTTGTGATGAGATGCCCTGATTGTAATGAGAATGGTTTAGTGCTCTGCCCTATTTGCAGTTGATCAAATCATAAATTAATTTGTAAGTTTATCTATCTCAAATCTTCTCATTTGAGTTGTTTATTTAAACTATAATTTTAATTATATCATACTGTTTGTGTATTGTTAATGTAGTAATACAAGATATTATAAACTAGAAAATTCGGTTTCTACTTTTGCTGCTGCTGTTGTTGTTATTGTTAGTTTATAGATTTGACATGATTTGTATGAGTATGGCTAATTTTAACTCATAACTTTACGAGTATTATACGACTTTTGAAATTTTCAAGATATCGAATTATTGATTGATCATACCTTCACCTACACAGAATGACAATGACATTACTCTTGTTGGGTTGTACCAACTGTTTCGGTTGAAAACAATGGGACCTTGCCGAAGGTCCACTAAAATGGAGAAGACTGGATTCGATCCAAGCTGTGTTGGGCCGAAGGTTTCCTGCACAGTGAACACACGTAAACTAGCCTCGGGGGTGTTTCCGAGGAAGGCCCCTCCGATGCTAAAGTCAGTACAATGTGTAAAAAGGAAGACACTATGCAAGAGAGTTTGTAGCTTGAGGCTTTTGTGGAGTATTTCTCAATGCAAGAATGAGCATATGAGTTGGAATAATCCGTGTATGAGATAATGTATGTGATGATGCATGTGTTGTTGTGTCTCGTATGTGATGTTATGAGATGTCTTATGTAAGAATATGACTCTCTCCTTGAATGTGTTAATATGAGGGCTTTTATACCTCATCATATTTGGAGAGGTTGGGCTTTAGCCCAATTGGCTTACTTTGTGGGCTGACTTTTGACTTTTGAGCAATTGGAGAGTTGAACCTTGACCTTGGGCTTTTAATTGGATCATTTAGTGCTCAGGCCCAATTTTGACTAAATTGGACCCAAACAACTTGCCCCCCAGACCCGATTCGGAAGAATGACGGGTCGGGTTTGATTTAACTCAGAAAAGGAGGGAAGTAAATGATTTAATTGATCCAAAAATTTGAATTTAAACCGTAATTAATGAGATAACAATGGTTAATGATTTGCGGAAGTTGGACGGATAATGGGCGGTTTAATCACAAGACATGTGTTTAATGGTTACTTAGTGGGTACTTAAGAGAAATTAAAGCACAGACTCTTCGTATCCCGTACCTGGAGATATAAACAGAGGCGCGTCATTCTCCTCACTGATTCACCAACACAAACCCAGAATTCTTCGAGAGAGAATCCAAGAACCCGTATCAAAACTTCGCAAATTCCCCCGAGCATTGAGCTTAGAAGCTGAGACTTGCCACTACGAACTCGTAAATCGGCAACTTTCGCTTCAGATTAGGTAAATTCCTTTGATTTCAGTTTATTTTTCTTCGAATTCGAACTCCTTCCCCTCTTCTTTCGACTTTTCTCTTCGAAATAGTCCATGGCAAGAGGAGTTAGAGGTAGAGCCCGTGCTCCAAGAAGAGCAAGGCCGATTCCCGATCCTAGGAATAGGATTGGGACCTGGAATGGTCGAAGGCCGGAGTCTGACCCTGCTGATGGGATTAGGGCGACTCCCCTTTCCTCGGCTCCTCCTCAAAGAACGGATGAGCCGAGTGCTTCTGGACGGGACGATGAAATTCCCGCTGTCCTTTGGGATATCCTCCCTGGGTTTTCAGAGTGGGAGAATGCCGAAGTCGCTTCGGCCATGATAAAGAACCGCCCCTACTCATGGTGGGTAGAGAACGCCGATCAATATCGATTTGCCGAGCAAATTGAGTTGCACTACGGCATTTTTGAAGCTGATGGATATTGGTGCCGAATGCCCTCAGCATCCGATAGAATCCATCGTCCACCCCCGGGGTATGTGGGGGTGTACACGAGACAGCTTCAGTATGGGCTGAGGTTCCCTTTGGACGTTTTCGTCCGAGACTTGCTGATCCATTACAACATTTCCCTATGTCAGCTAACCCCCACCAGTATCCGAAGGGTGATGACATACTTATGGGTCTGCAAGTTCTTCAGATACGTGCCGAACCTGCACTGCTTCAGAAAGCTCCATCGGCTAGTGCCAAATATTCAGAGTGGGCACGGAAGCCATGGTTCTGGGTGGTATCGGATTGAGTCCCGGCCCCAATACTTGACCATGTGGCCAAATGACTCTTCAGACAAGGACTGGAGAGGTCAATGGATTTGGGTTAGGGCACCCATAGATCCGGGCCACCCTTGTGTCTTCAGCGCTCCCCGGTACTTAGCTGAGCCTGATCCCGAAATGGGAAGTCTAGGTCCCCCCGCAGATAACGGGGCGGATCCGAACCTGGATCAGCAAAATATCTTCGGCAAGCTGCCGAACCCGGGGGGGAGTGGTCGAATGCAGCATATCCCGGAGACTTGGCTCCCCGATACGCATTACGTTTTCCAAGAGAATATGCTAGCAGCTGTTGGCCTCAGCCGAAAGTTTAAGGATGGTAAGCTTCTTCGGCTGGGGCCGAGGCTTTTAACTACCTCTTTTTCTTCTCTCGCTTTGCTTTTTTATGCTGTGCCAACATATCTGAGCTAAACTTTTTCCCTTTCCTTTTTTCAGAGCGGGACGAGACCAACGTTGGTATTAACTACGCTCGTCTTGGTGTTAACCGAGAGCGAGTTGTAACTGAACGGGCCCCGTCTATCACTGAGCCGAGGCATAGGGAAGTTCATCTGGACTCTTCCCACTTCCAAATTGAGGCTGTTGCTCTGTATCAGAGGCAGAAGCCTTGGTGGAAGAAGAGAGACCCTTGGTTTCAGCTGCTGAACGAGGAAGCTGAAGCTGCCCGCACAGCCGAAGAGGTTGCACGAGTACTTGAGGCTTGTGAAGGAGGAGAAGGGTCCTCCAGAGCTGCTGAAGCCGAAGCTGCAGCTAGAGCAGCTGAAGAAGACGAGGCTTTGCTGAAAACCTCGGTGAGCTTTCAGACAACTTTTTTCTTTTCTTCTTCTTTTTTTTTTTTTTTTTTTTTTTTTTTTACTCACACTCTTCTTCCCCCCTGTCTGTTACAGTCTGAAGAGAGTAACAGACACAGAGAAGGCAAAGCTCCTGTTCGTCCCGAAGATCAAATACAAGAGTCTTCAGACTCAGATATGGACGAGCAGCCCCTTCTGAAAAGGCGCCGAAGGATGGCCATCATCGGCCCTCATGACTTTCAGCAGAGGCCGATGACCATCGGCGTCGCAATAAGGGAACCTGAGGAAGGCAATGGATCGCCGAGGGTTCCCCAGCCAACACCCCAATCTCCTCAAAAGACCCCTCCGCCACCTCCTGAGATGGAGGTGGATCAGAGAACTCCCGAACCTAAGGGAGGGGTCCAAGAAGAAATCAAGGAGAGTGCTGCTGAGCACGAAAATAAAGATGCCGTGATGTCAAGTGCTGAAGGCTTCACGGCAGATATCGCAAGAGAGGTTGAGGCTTTCGTCCTCACCCCTGAAGAAGAGGAGGTCATAGTACTTGACTCCTCTGAGAAGGACGATGCTGAGACAACCAAAGCTAATCAAGCTCCATCGTCGTCCTTCCCTTCTTTCCAGACTCTGCATTCTGGAGAAATGGGTTTCTCGGCCCCCCGAATTCCAATCCCAGATCACATCTGGGACCTCATATGGGGTCAAAACCGAGAAGGAGCTGCAGCCTACTTCGGCAATTTTGCTGGCATGTCCGAAGTAGACAGGGCAAGGATCTGGTCGCTGAAGGCCACTGCTGGGATGGGCGAATCCAGTAGATCAGTTCCTGACCCAGCCAGGTCTAACCAACTGCTGATGATGCAGGTAATTTTCCTTCATTTCCTCCGAAATTCAGCTCTATTTTTTTTTTCTTATTACTTATTTTTTTTTGTCTTCCTGTTTTCAGTTCGTGCACAATCAGACTCTCACTGTAGAGCTGATTGATACCCTACAAGATAGGGTAGACGCTGCTGTGCACGAAAGGAAGGTGGCTGAAGAGGAAGTTAAGCTTGCTAAGCTGAAGCAAGCAGCAGCTGAAGAGAAGCAGCAGGAGGTTGAGGAGTACGGTAAAAAAGCTGCCGAAGCTCTGAAAACCTTCTGCGATGCTATGGAGATGGAGGTTTTTCCCCCACTGATGGAAGGGGAAAAATTCCTCCAGGAGCATATGGGAGTGGACGTCTCCAAATTCAAGGCTGCTATTGAGAGCCGAATTCAAGAAGGAACTGCTGCACAAGCTGAAGTGCAGCAGCGTCTAGAGGCTCTTGAAGCCAGCCGAATGGCTGCTGAAGAGTTGCTCTTGGCCAAAGACGTCCAACTCTCAGAGGCTGCTGCTGCTGCTGAAGCTCAAAGAGCTAAATTCCAAGAGGCTGAGGATCAACTGCTGATCCAGAAAGTTGAAGTGGCCCAAGCTCAGACAAAGGCTTTCCAAATTCAGCAAGAGCTGAATGAGCTGAAGGGGTCCTCCTCCAAAGTCGCTGAACAGCTGAAGAAATCCAAGGAAGACTTGGAGGAGACCCAGAAGAAGCTGGCTGATGCTGAGGCTTTACTCAAAGTCCGTGTTTACACCCAAGAGGAATATGAGATGGGTTTCAGAAACGGATTCCGAGTATGCCGAAGACTCTGCCTTCATGCTGAGCCGAAGCTGGACTGGTCTAAATGTGCTGAGTGGGTCCAGAATCCCGAAGACCCTCACATGAAGTATGCAACTCCAGCTGAAGCTGAAATTCTTAAGGCTGAGGAAGCCGAAGAGGAAGCTGAAAGACTGGAGTTGGAAGCTGAGCAGAGGGAAAGGGAGGCTCGGCAAAGTGCAAAGCCCGCCTCTTCTGCTGCTGGGGCTGAGGCCACCATGGGACTCAACGCTGATCAGTCTGATCCTCCGGCTGAAGCATAGGAACTCGGGCAGTCGTCTTCAGAATCTTGCGGTTCATCATGTGCTTAACTTTAGACTTGCCGCTTTCTGAGTTTTTTTGCCTTGTTTTTTGCTTCAGCTTGCCTTGTCGTACAGCAGTTTTATTTTTTTGCTTATGTACGTATTTCGGCAGCTGTTATTTTCCGCTTGTGGGCGGCTGCCGATACTGAATTATTGAACTTGTAGCTCAAAAATTTTTTCTTCAGTTGCTTTATTTTTGAATGCTTTACTGTTTCTTTTCTTCAACTCTGCCGAACATAGCTGCACTGCGTGCTTCTTGCCCCCACAGAAATTGAAGTATGACTTTAGTTGAATAAGCAA